GCAACATGCAGGCAGCGCACTTTGGCAAGCGAGCGTCAGCATTGGTTGTTGTTGAGCGATAAGGTTGCAAGGAATTTATCGTTGTTAAGCCTTGCATTCGCATAGTTTGATGACAACCATGGCACTGCAACGTGCTTTGGTAGCAAATTCTCGGTCTGACATGTGACTGTGTTGGACGGCTCGCCAGCACTCAAACTGCTGTCGGTCGCGTGTTGGTGCTTGCACATTACACGTTGGGATGCTGAGGATCATACGGCTCTATCCGAAGTAGTTAACTAGTTGTCTAAAAATAGGCATAATACATTTATAATAAAAAAACGGGGGATCGCTTTTGAGACAGTTAGCGGTAGTAAACATAAAAATAAGAAGGGTGAGCATGTGATAAGATACATATATATATTAGAAAAGTGAATAAGAGTAATACAAAATATAGAAGCAAGTAGATTACAAAAAAAAGATATATTTCAAATACAATACAAAATAATTACATTGATGAAAATCCAAAGTCCAATTTTTTAAAATGATATTATGGAAAGTCCAAAGTCAAATTCATTGATGATACAAATTGTTTCGCTTCAATACATCATCCACCATAGGCGTACGGGCACATATTTTTAGGGGGAGCTGGACTAAATTTGCCCGAATTATATGACGTCATATGACGTATGACGTCATAGATATTCTTATGTTGTCTCTGGCCATCTCAATTAATAAGCTAAAATCATTACAATTTGCTAAGAGGATGCTACGAAAGTAACTACATTTTATTTGATATTTGAAATTTTGTCATATATAACACTAGACGCAGAAGAAATTTAGTTAGTTAAATGTGCGACGATCTAAGACTAAAAGAAATAAGATTTACGATTACGTCGCTGTCCAAAATGTTAATTATCTTTTCCATGTCGTTCTTTAAAGTACTATTTGCATAGGCTCTTTCCACATTGATTAGGGCAATGCTGTTTAACCGTTTTGACCAATTGTACTTCGAAGATAGGTTTTAAGCGACGAAGAGCGCTAAAAGATCTTTCTGCTGAGCAGGATGTTGCCGGGATCGCGGCCAGAATCGAAAATACTTTGTAAGCCACAGGCAGGACTTCATGAACACCATTTTCGAACATTCTCTTAACAATTTTGGCAGCGTTTTCTCTCTCAGCACAAGGGAAATCAACGTCAATATTCTCAAAGACATTTTCTCGCTACTAAGAAGCTCACTGTCGATACCATAGAAGTGTGATACCAACTCAACATTCGCCGTGGTTGGAGACCTGTTGAACACAATATCTGCAAGTGCCAATAGGACCTCTTGATCACTACCTTCAAATCTTGATTTCATCTCCGCCACAATCTTGTCAATGCTTAGGTAGTAGCATGTGATACGATAGTAATCTTTTCTGTTCGATTTTCCACTTCTGCATTTACTTCAGCCATTTCACCGACGAGGCTTGGAGCCGCCGTGACGGCTGTTGGAATCTTGGTACTTTTGCATCTTTGAAATTGAATTCTGTACCTTCAATTTGCTCCTTAATTTTGTGTGCTATGATTTCAGCCCGTGACCATAACAGTTCGAAATTTTCGAGGGAACGACATCCAATTAATGTCTTAATCACGCCATCAACACTCTTCTTTGCTGTGGCGACATCCATTTGCTTTCCTTGTAGGTACCTGCTCAAACCATCGGTGTTAGATAAAATAACCTTTAATACCATCAAACCAAAAACGAACCGAAAGTCGCAAATCGAGTTAAGTAGCGAATTGCTGTCATTGTAGGTCTTCGGATCGCGATCTTTTGAGAGTGTAAGGAGAACCTCGATGATCTTAGGTAATTGGTTTACTACTGCTTTACAGCTGCCCAACGACAAGACCATCTAGTAGCACTCTGCGATTTAATAGTCAGTGTAATATCTTCGTCCTCATCTTCGACCTTGATGTCATTGAAGATGGAGTGGCGTTGGGACTTCCTTCCAAGAAATTATGGAGACTCTGGATCACACCTAAAGCTTTCTGAAGTGGCTCAATTGTAGTCATCGTATCTTGTAGCGCCAAGTTAAGCCGATGCCCATGGCAGTGAACATAGATGCTAAGAGGTGAGCACTCCTTCATGCGTGCAGCAAGTCCTTTGCGAGGGCCACTCATATTTGCAGCGCCATCAAAGCATTCTGCGACAATGTTTTCCAATGTCAACTCTAGCCTGCCAATGGCTGTCTTTAACAGCTCATACAATACTTCTCCTTCCGTAGATTTGGTTGAATAGAAACCAGTGAATGTCTCTTTGGTTTCGCCATTGAAAACATATCTGAGGAAAGAGATAATTGCTCTGTTCGACTGATGTCTGCCGTTTCATCGACAACTATTCCGTAGTAGTCGCTACTTCTTGCTTCTTCTGCTATCCTCTCAAGCATGACACTTGCTACTATTTCCAGTAGTTCATTTTGAATAGCAGGGGATGTCCACTGAGCATGTGTCTGCAGCTGGCTTTGAAGTTTAGATTTCAGCCAAGGCAAATCGTTGCATCTTATGCAAAGTAACTCGAGAAAGTTTCCTCTATTTATATCAGATATCTCCCATATATCACCCCGAATCTCTTCATGACCTCTAATTGCAACATTTTGTTGTGCAGTGTACATCAAAGATTGTATGATTACTTTTAAGTATTGTCTGTTAATAGCAACCTGGTCCTGATGTGCACTATTCAGCTGTTGTAGTACGGAGGTTTTCTTTCTTTCCATTGCTTTAAACTGGAGCCATCTTGTCATGGATCTGACGTGGTTCTCACTCTTGCCATGTTTTGCCAGCTTTGACGACTTCTTCCAATTTGTAAGCACAAATGAAGTATTCTTCCCAAATTCTTTACAGGCAAAACAAACGCATGCATCTTTATCCACTTCGTAACTAATCCATGGATATTTCTTGTACCATTCAGGCTGAAATCATCGCACAAATGTTTCACTGCCGAATTTTCGTGCAGGATATTCACCTAATATAGGCTGTTTTGGGGCGTGCAAGGTGGAAATCTCTTCTTCATTCATACTGTTAAGGGAAACCTTTCTAGTCTGTTCATTTAGAACAGATGCTGTTGAATCTAAATCTTGTATTGCTGTTGTGTCTAGAGTGTTAGACGTCGTCGTTGATTCTGGTGTTGCAACGCGTTGTATATTTTGATTTAAGTTAAATTCTTCGATGAACAGTGCGTCACTGGAAGTAAGATTTTCATTATCCGTGACCGTATTCAATTCTTTATTTTCTCTGAACTGCGTCAGTGGATTTAATTCATCAACATCAATAAACGTTCTCATTGGTTCCGTTTGGTCTTCGCTTATGGGCTCCTTCAAATTAATCTCAGGTAGATTTTCCTCAAAAGATCCAGTGGCTGCTAAATCTTTACTAGCACTCGATTCTGTTTCCTGTAAGGTTAGGTTATCATCCTTGGTTGTCATGTTACTTTTTACAAAGAAACCACTGATCTTTGACTGCGATAAATCCGATGAATCCATCACTCGATGACACTTAACTTTTCATTATTGTGAACTCGTCGAAAGTGGACCTCCTTATAATCACTGTCAATTTCCTTGCTGCATTCCTCGCACCAAACGCGATGTCGATACGGTCGTTTACGAGACGCCATATGTACGCTTTATTAGAGCTTGGCTACTAAATGTTTTCCCCTTGTGGATAATAGTTTCCTTGAACAACAATCATAGAGTGAATGGCACTAATCTAATCAATGGAATGGACAGTGCCTCTCCATACGAAGCCTAATTTTCATGCAAAATTAAAAATCACTTTGGGGATCGCAGCGATTGTTAATCTATATATTAATGTATAACGGATAGCGTGTGGGAGACGATTTTCGCAATTTCAAGACATTTCAAGACTTTTACTGACCTCAGCCCTTTTTTATAAATGGAGAACGTTATGTGGATAAATTTAATACCAAAAGCTTTGCTCTGATTGAAAATATCGGCGTTCGTGTTCGTTTAAAAGTTGTAAACACCGAATATATTCGTCGCAATATCGCTAGTAAATAGACCGATTTCTCGTGACGTAATTTGTTTATATTATAATGGGGCGGATGTAAAATTCTCCTATTATGTCTCAAGAAAATTTTGCACCCAATCACTTTACGCGATTTTTTATTTTACCTCCTGAAATTTAAGTAATTTAAACAATTTAAAAACCATCCATTAAAAGACCGTTCACGCTCAAGAACCGAAGCAGTTTATGATCTAGAAATGATGTAGATTAATATTGAAAATTTAAAAACTAGTATATCTTGCCAGAATATCATGTAAATGCTAGCCCGAATACACAAATTTCGAAATTGGGGGCTGCAGCCCCCCCAGCCCACCCCCCCCGTACGCCTATGTCATCCACAATAAATAAAGAATCGGAAAAATGACTCAAAATGTTCACCAACTTTCTCATCCCAAAACCAGTTAAATAAACCAATCTTCCATTTGTGTACAAAGACATAGATACAAACTTGACTTAGATCGTATGTTACACATTTTAAATTTTGCCAAAGTTCAATGCACTGATGATATAAATTTTTTCTCTTTAATATATGATCGACATGAAAGAATCGCAAATATGACTCAGTCTTTTCACCAACTTCATTTTCCCAAAACCAATTAATCCAATCTTCTATTTGTACACAAACGCATGTAAAAGAATTTATAGAAGATGGTATGTCACACATTGTAAATGAGGATTGCTTTTATTGCTTTGAGTTATTTCTTAAAAAACGACTTCAAACGATTGCAAACACCAACATATTAACTTTGTAAATGCAATAACCATAAAAAAAGAATTGAGTACATATTCAACCAGGGGCGGATCTAGACCGATGCAACCGATGCGAATGCATCGGTCAAAATATTTAGATATTAAAATCTGCGAGTTTGCATTTTAATGAAATAAATAGCAAATATTATTTTCGAATTATTTAAAACGCACATTTGATAGTGATATATTGTTTAGTTAACTTATAGATTTAGCAG